AACTAATCAATAGGTACTAGTAACTGAATAATAGGTACTAGTAAAATGGAAATAGCAGTAACTAATCAATAGGTACTAGTAACTGAATAATAGGTACTAGTAAAATGGAAATAGCAGTAACTAATCAATAGGTACTAGTAACTGAATAATAGGTACTAGTAAAATGGAAATAGCAGTAACTAATCAATAGGTACTAGTAACTGAATAATAGGTACTAGTAAAATGGAAATAGCAGTAACTAATCAATAGGTACTAGTAACTGAATAATAGGTACTAGTAAAATGGAAATAGCAGTAACTAATCAATAGGTACTAGTAACTGAATAATAGGTACTAGTAAAATGGAAATAGTAGTAACTAATCAATAGGTACTAGTAACTGAATAATAGTACTAGTAAAATGGAAATATAGTAACTAATCAATAGGTACTAGTAACTGAATAATATACTAGTAAAATGGAAATAGTAGTAACTAATCAATAGGTACTAGTAACTGAATAATAGGTACTAGTAAAATGGAAATAGTAGTAACTAATCAATAGGTACTAGTAACTGAATAATAGATACTAGTAAAATGGAAATAGCAGTAACTAATCAATAGGTACTAGTAACTGAATAATAGATATTAGTAAAATGGAAATAGCAGTAACTAATCAATAGGTACTAGTAACTGATATAGGTACTAGTAACTGAAAATAGTACTAGTAAAATGGAAATAGTAGTAACTAATCAATAGGTACTAGTAACTGAATAATAGATACTAGTAAAATGGAAATAATAGTAACTAATCAATAGGTACTAGTAACTGAATAATAGATACTAGTAAAATGGAAATAGCAGTAACTAATCAATAGGTACTAGTAACTGAATAATAGATATAGTAAAATGGAAATAGCAGTAACTAATCAATAGGTACTAGTAACTGAATAATAGGTACTAGTAACTGAATATAGATACTAGTAAAATGGAAATAGTAGTAACTAATCAATAGGTACTAGTAACTGAATAATAGATACTAGTAAAATGGAAAAATAGTAACTAATCAATAGGTACTAGTAACTGAATAATAGATACTAGTAAAATGGAAATAGTAGTAACTAATCAATAGGTACTAGTAACTGAATAATAGGTACTAGTAAAATGGAAATAGCAGTAACTAATCAATAGGTACTAGTAACTGAATAATAGGTACTAGTAAAATGGAAATAGTAGTAACTAATCAATAGGTACTAGTAACTGAATAATAGATACTAGTAAAATGGAAATAATAGTAACTAATCAATAGGTACTAGTAACTGAATAATAGATACTAGTAAAATGGAAATAGTAGTAACTAATCAATAGGTACTAGTAACTGAATAATAGGTACTAGTAAAATGGAAATATAGTAACTAATCAATAGGTACTAGTAACTGAATAATAGATACTAGTAAAATGGAAATAGTAGTAACTAATCAATAGGTACTAGTAACTGAATAATAGTACTAGTAAAATGGAAATAGCAGTAACTAATCAATAGGTACTAGTAACTGAATAATAGGTACTAGTAAAATGGAAATAGTAGTAACTAATCAATAGGTACTAGTAACTGAATAATAGATACTAGTAAAATGGAAATAGCAGTAACTAATCAATAGGTACTAGTAACTGAATAATATATTAGTAAAATGGAAATAGCAGTAACTAATCAATAGGTACTAGTAACTGAATAATAGGTACTAGTAAAATGGAAATAGCAGTAACTAATCAATAGGTACTAGTAACTGAATAATAGGTACTAGTAAAATGGAAATAGCAGTAACTAATCAATAGGTACTAGTAACTGAATAATAGGTACTAGTAAAATGGAAATAGCAGTAACTAATCAATAGGTACTAGTAACTGAATAATAGGTACTAGTAAAATGGAAATAGTAGTAACTAATCAATAGGTACTAGTAACTGAATAATAGGTACTAGTAAAATGGAAATAGCAGTAACTAATCAATAGGTACTAGTAACTGAATAATAGGTACTAGTAAAATGGAAATAGCAGTAACTAATCAATAGGTACTAGTAACTGAATAATAGGTACTAGTAAAATGGAAATAGTAGTAACTAATCAATAGGTACTAGTAACTGAATAATAGTACTAGTAAAATGGAAAAATAGTAACTAATCAATAGGTACTAGTAACTGAATAATAGATACTAGTAAAATGGAAATAGTAGTAACTAATCAATAGGTACTAGTAACTGAATAATAGGTACTAGTAAAATGGAAATAGTAGTAACTAATCAATAGGTACTAGTAACTGAATAATAGGTACTAGTAAAATGGAAATAGCAGTAACTAATCAATAGGTACTAGTAACTGAATAATAGGTACTAGTAAAATGGAAATAGTAGTAACTAATCAATAGGTACTAGTAACTGAATAATAGGTACTAGTAAAATGGAAATAGTAGTAACTAATCAATAGGTACTAGTAACTGAATAATAGGTACTAGTAAAATGGAAATAGTAGTAACTAATCAATAGGTACTAGTAACTGAATAATAGGTACTAGTAAAATGGAAATAGTAGTAACTAATCAATAGGTACTAGTAACTGAATAATAGGTACTAGTAAAATGGAAATAGTAGTAACTAATCAATAGGTACTAGTAACTGAATAATAGATACTAGTAAAATGGAAATAGTAGTAACTAATCAATAGGTACTAGTAACTGAATAATAGATACTAGTAAAATGGAAATAGTAGTAACTAATCAATAGGTACTAGTAACTGAATAATAGTACTAGTAAAATGGAAATAGTAGTAACTAATCAATAGGTACTAGTAACTGATAATAGGTACTAGTAAAATGGAAATAGTAGTAACTAATCAATAGGTACTAGTAACTGAATAATAGGTACTAGTAAAATGGAAATAGTAGTAACTAATCAATAGGTACTAGTAACTGAATAATAGATACTAGTAAAATGGAAATAGTAGTAACTAATCAATAGGTACTAGTAACTGAATAATAGATACTAGTAAAATGGAAATAGTAGTAACTAATAAATAGGTGATACCTGAACTGCATAGCCCCATTGATTTCAATCAAAAAATAAGGGAATAGTTTCTAGTCGCTAAAAATTAAGTGGGCCTACTAGTATGTAATTAATTGTTACTAGTAAAACGGGAACAGTTACTAGTAGCTAATGGAATAGTTAGTAGTAACTATTAAGTACTAGTAGCTTTTTAAATAGCGCGTAGTAAGTTTTAAGGAATAAATGTTAAAACGGCTTGCCGTTAGTCTTGATGAACTAGAAAGTAAGCTGAATGTCCGTGGGCAAGTTTCCCTCGCGGAAATATTACGGTAAAGTGTGGAATTTGCGACAAAACGACAAAACATTTGATGGAGCGTAACTTAATTGTAAACGATGGATACCGTCATATCGCACAGCCCTAGTTCATGTTGCTTGTTGAAGCTGTAAATGTGATCAGCTGTACTCACCAGTGTTTGGCAAAGACTCAGCTGTTGTTGAGAAAGACCTGATGAACTTAGTCTGAATTTCCTTTCAGAGACAGAGACTCGTCTCGTTTCGACGGCTGCTGCTCTGACAAACTCTCAGTTCCCCCCCCCCCGATCGGTTAACAGACCCTCACGTCGGTGGAACCACACCATTGGCTGAAATATGTTTCCCGCTTTGGCTGTTAAAATACTACTAACGATTGGCTTTCTAGCAGGAGGGGCGGGGTTATTCCCGCTAGAGTTTTTGTTTTTTATAAGATGAACAGTGTGTGTACATTAACAATAACACCACAAGAAAATTGCAAGACAATACAAAAAATATAAAGACCGATCAGATCAGGACAAATAAAATAAAAATATAAAACAATAAGACAATAAAACAACAATTAAAAACACAGTGTATGAGGAAGATATAAAATAATATATACAGCGTATATATTAATACAGTTTTTGCTGGGTATATACTGACAATATGCTAATTGCTAATATGCTAAGTCTGGCAAGCACCCAAGACACACTGCCCAGCTGGATTAGCAAAACAGACTAGAAATATTCACTGCAAGCGGGCGTATAACTTAACATTAACCTACTGTTACTTATTGACATCAGGCTTTGCTACCGTTGCACTAAACCTGACATTTACTTACCGAGAGGGAAAAGGAAGGGGCGCTAAAAAAACGTGAAAATCGGCCTAATGCATAAATAATATAGTTAACCAGTAGACTTGGGTGGAGACATTGCAGTAGAATGAGACCATTTTAAAGACAGACCTTATTTGGGACTGTTTCAGAATCAGAAATACTTTATTGATCTCCGAGGGAAAATTCTTGTTTCACAGTTGCACATTGCACATCAAGCAAATTGCCTTAGCAGGAGACACAGGCGTGACATCGGGGACGGAGCTGATGGTGGTGACAGATGGAAAGGGGAAGTGAAGCTGAAAGGTGGGCAAGGCGGAAGTGCTGATGGGAAGTGGAATGGTTAGAAGGTCAGAAAAGAAGCATCATTGATTGAACATTGTTATATTGTTACTGAGGAAATGGGTTCATTTTCTGAGGTTTCAAGAAGGCCACCGAGGCTTCTGTCACCGCTTCAGTTTCTGGAGTCACTCCATTTACTATGTCACGTGTCATGCTCCAACCTCTGACGTCAACTTCATTAACACTTGCAATATAAAGAACAACTTTTTGTCAGACCAACTCGTTTCATCAGGGTCATCATGAAACACACTACAAAATAACATTTAAATAATTCAATTTAATTTAGTACCAGTTTATAACAGAAGCCAGAAGCTATCTCAGTGCATTTTTCATATAGAGCAGCTCTAGACTGTACTCTTTGTAATACTATTAACAGAGACCCAACAACGACTAAATGCTGTGAAATGACACACGAATAGGAAAAAAGGCGTTATGATAACACATGAAATGACTTAAGACATTGGCATTGCAGGGGGTTTGACCTCTTCAGACAGAAGTTTTTTTGGTGTGAAAAGTGTTTGCTTGATTCATACAGAAGCATGTGTTCCTCCTCTCAGGGTTTACAGAGAGAAGATGCGTGACTACCAGTTCAAGCGGCTGAAGTATTTCTACGCCGTAGCGGAGTGTGACTCGGCCGACACCGCCGCCAAAATCTACGGGGAGTGTGACGGCTACGAGTACGAGAGCAGCTGCTCCGTCCTGGACCTCCGGTAAGACTCCGAACACAAGCGACACAAATACTGACAGTAATGTAGAAAAGCACAAAACTGAAACCTCCACTGAACAGGTTTATTCCTGATGATGTCGAGTTTGACGAGGAGCCCAAAGACGTGGCGACGGATGTGAACCTCTCGGCCTACACGCCCAAACTGTTCACCTCATCTGCTTCTACAACGTCAAAGGTAAGAACATCGAAGGATACTATAAAGTAAAAACACCATCGCCAGTAAAAGTAAGGAGAAAATGGCCATTATTTCTGATTTCCCTGTGTTTTAAAGTATTTTAAGCAGTCCTGTACTCAACTGTAACATTTTGAAGTGCTTTACTTGAATGTTTCCATGTTCTGCTACTTTATACTTCACTACATGTCAGAGGGAAATATTGTACATTTTACTGTGTTTTTAAAGCTTTAGTTACTTTGCTGATTCAGATTAATAACACAAAATGTAAACAAATAAATCAGAATGTGTTACGGGTTAAAAAGCAGCCACACCTTTTACTATGGCTGCAACTAACTATTCTTCATAATCGATGAATCTATTTCACAAAAAATCAATTAGTTGTTTTGTCCATAAACTTTCAGAAAATGGTGAAAAATGTTGATCAGTGTTCCCAAAGCCCGAGATGATGTCACTCAAGTAACTTGTTTGTCCATAACCCAAAGATATTCAGTTTACTGTCATAGAGGAGTGAAGAAACCAGAAAATATTCACATTTCAGAAGCTGTAATCAGAGAATTTTTTTTAAAATGACTCAAAACGATTAATCGATTATAAAAATAGTGGTGATAAAAATAGTTAACAAATCGTTAAATCGACTAATCGTTGCAGCTCTACCTTTTACCAGCTGCAACATTAAAGTGATAAAACACTTGTTTATGCTTATACACT